CCTTCCCCCCTTTTTTTCCCTTTCTCCCTTTTTTCTCCCTTTTTCTCTCCCTTTTATTTCTTTTTCTTTCCGTTTTTCCTTTTTCTCCCTTTTTTCTCCCTTTTTCTCTCCCTTTTATTTCTTTTTCTTTCCCTGTTTTTCCTTTTTCTCCCCTTTTTCTCCCGTTTCCCCCTCTTTTCACCTTCTTTTCTATTTCTTCTCTCTGTCTTTTCCTCTTTCCTTTTTCTTTCTTTTCTCTTTTTCCCCTTGTTTCCCTTTTCTTTTTTCCTTCTTTTTTCCTTCTTTTTTCCTTTTTTCTTCTTTTTTTCTTCTTTCCCCCTTCTTTTCTCGTCTTTTTCCCCATCTTTCCCTTTTCTCTTTCTTCTGCCTTCTTTCCTCTTTTTCTCATTCTTTTTCCTTCTCTTTCCTCCTTTTCTCTTTCTTTTTCCTTCTCTTTCCTCCTTTTTTTCATCTTTCTTTACCATTTTTTCCCTTGTTTTTTTACCTTTCTGATCTCTTCATTTTCCCTTTTTTCTCGTGCTTTTTCCCCTTCATTTTTCCTTTTTTCCTTCCTTTTTTTCCCTCCTTTTTTGCTTTTTTCTTTCCCTTTTTTCTCCCCCCTTTTTTCCTTCTTTTTTCTTCTCTTTTCCTTCTTTTTCACTTTTTTCTTTCCTCTTTTTCTCCCCCTTTTCACCTTAATTTTTTCTTCTTCTTTCCTCCTTTTTCACTTTTTCCTTTCCCTTTTTCTCCTTCATTTTTCCTTCTTTTCCCCTTGTTTTTCCATTTTTTCTTTCCCTTTTTTCTCCCTCTTTTTCTCCCCTTTTTTCCTTCATTTTTTCTTCTTTTCCCCTTGTTTTTCCCTTTTTTCTTTCCCTTTTTTTCCCTCTTTTCTTCCTCTTTTTCTCCCCCTTTTTTCCTTCATTTTTTCTTCTCTTTTCCTCCTTTTTTCCTTTTTTCTTCCCCTTTTTTCCCTTTCTTTTCCATTTCTCTTCCTTGTTTTTTTACCTTTTTCTCCTTGTTTCCCCTTTTTTCTTGCACTTTTTCCCTTCATTTCTCCTTATTTTTCTTCTCTTTTCCTCCTTTTTCGCTTTTTCCTTTCCCTTTTTTCCTCCCCCTTTTTTCCTTTATTTTTCCTTTTTTTCCCTCCTTTTTCACTTTTCTCTTTCCCTTTTTTCTCCCCCTTTTTTCCTTCATTTTTCCTTTTTTTTCCCTCCTTTTTCACTTTTTTTCTTTCCCTTTTCATCTCCCGCTCTCCCTCCCCCTTTTTTTTCCCTTTTCCATCCCCTTTTCCTCCCCTTTTCCCGATTTTGCCCCCTTCATTCCCAGCTTTCCCAGGATGATCGAGGTTGTCTGTAACGACCGGCTGGGGAAGAAGGTTCGGGTCAAGTGCAAGTATCCCACCCTGGGGGGGTTGGGGGGTCTGGGGGGGGTTGGGGGGGCCTGGGGGTGTTTGGGGGGTGCCCCTGTGCCCCCTTTCTTTCCTTGACCCCCCCCAGCCCCGAGGATTCCATCCGGGACCTGAAGAAGTTGATCGCGGCGCAGACGGGCACCCGCTGGGACAAGATCGTGCTCAAGAAATGGTGAGGGGGGCACGGGGGGGGGCACCCGGGGGGGCTCCTGGGGCTGGGGGGGCACCCAGAGGGGCTGGGGGGGGTCAAGGAAAGAAAGGGGGCACAGGGGGCACCCCCCCAAAACCCCCCCGCCCCCCCCCCCCCCCCCCCCCCCCCCCCCCCCCCCCCCCC